AACGCGTTTGTACAATGCTGAGCATTAAAATAAAACACTTATTTACAAAACATATAAGTAAACGTAAACAGACAGTAGTTCCAAAGCGACAGTTACGTAAAGGCTTAAATTTGTTTTATGTGATTGTATAATTTTTTTAATAAGTATTTTTATTTTAATCATTCTTCGTCCACAGAATTTGCACGAAATGTTGGACCATCCCTACATGTAATTTTATGCTAAGCTTTAATTGTCGATTGCGTCATTACAAATCGGCGTATTAAGAGATAATACCTTTCAATTCACAATGTGTTAACGCCTTATAACAAGCTTATTAAGATGTTGGTAGAATAAACAAATTATAGATACAAGAATAATTTACATTTAGCTTTAGTGAATTTAATAGCTAAGTATTTTAGCAATTACATTCTCCACCATCTCCATAACTCAGCATATAATACCTTGCCTAGCAATGGAAAAGGTCTTCGTTCGAATTCTAAGTAAGACAATGACGTTACAAATATAAATCATTAAAATTACTAAACAAAAAATACTCTTTGTTCACGCGAGAGATGTGTACTACATTCGAATAACACTTTGAACGGTTTAAAACGCGAAAAATATTAGTCACAGAATTTTTACGACTACGACACAACGTGTCAGATGCTTTAGAACAGCCATGTTCATTGCGATAGAAATAAAAAAAAAACCCTGTCAAGGTGTGTTTTTTATGATAGAAAAGTACGCACAACGCATAGTACTTTAGTCATATAACCTTTTTGCTTTGGATATTATTTTTTTATAAATTATTTCAAAAAGCAAAATATGTTATTTCAGTTCCACTGTAGTTTGACAAAGAATGATGAGACATTTAATATTCCGTATGTATCTAGGTGGCTTTCTGAGTGTTCTTGGATAAACAAAGCCCGAGTGGTTTCAAAAGGAGAGCAACCTTTGTTCTTGCAAGGATTCTGGGCTTCCTAGACTCGGTACTAAAAGCTCTTTATGAAAGCTGCAATACAACTAGCATTTTGTTGTTCTATTGTTAATTAAGCATATAAAGAAATGGGACGTACAAATTGTTACTGTAAGCTTTCAAACCAAAAACATAAATGTGAAAAAGGGAGAGTCAAGTTCAATACAAAAACGATGCTTGGTTGTGTTCAGCAGTTCTCTATTCAGTATCGTAAATATCCCAATTATGCAACATTTTTTTTTATGATAGTCAAGCAATCATGGGGCATCAACAAAAGACAAGCGACACTTAAACAAAATGTACTGTCGACTTTGTGAAATAATTGCGCTGAATCTACATCTGATAGTTTTGTCAACAGCATTACAAGGCGGAATTCCAAAAGTTTTCAAAATACAATGCAATAAGCTCCTAATTGAAAAGGTCACGAGCAAGAACAATGGTCTTAGATGCCGGTGTTGCCAACTCTGTTAGCGTAACTTTGATTTTACAAAAGAGCCGAATTATGGTGAACTAAAATGAATCATCTCGTAGCGCCGGCGAAAGAAGTGCATTGCCTTAATTAATTATCAGAACACGAAACTTTATTTATCACCTGGTTGCCATGGGAACAGCGAGATTGTATGACGGGCCTGTTGATGTAATGGTACCAAATATGGCTAATAATCACCGGATTCAAAACTATTCATATAAGTTTATATTTTTTCTGAAACATGTTGGACTTTCTCTGGAAATCGGGATATCTAGATTGTGTAGGAAATGTCAATTCGCGTCAAAATAACGAACCACTGTCCACAGAAGAAACAGGCCGTCAAGTTTAATTATCGTTTCGGTATCATTCTGGATTATCGAATATCTAAAGCATGTTGGCAAGATAGGTTGAAAGCCCATCATTCCTCACCACACTTAATTTTTAGACTTGTCACAAGTATCCTGGAGGTGGGAATAACGGAATTTCGTCAATACGAACTTTACACACATGAAAAAAACTGTCAAGTTTACTCGCGTTTCGATTTTAGTCTGTGGATTCCCGAATATCTATAGCCAAATAGAACGAAATCCCATCTCGATTAGATATTTTACGGCTGACATATTTCATCTACCATCAAGTAAAACACATGTTAGTCTTTCCTTTCCTATAAAAAGACATATACCTATAGTATAATTGTAACTAGAATTATTAAGTTTAACTCATACACGTGAATATTCTATTGGCATCTAGAATACATCAAATTAATAGTTAGAAAAGAGAAAATCCAGTCCACAGAATATTCAGTTACAAGATTTATTAAAAGTTAAATAACAGCACACCCAGTTAACTCTTCACTTCCGCAAATAAAATTCGCTTTGGTGAACCGTTCATGTTCATGTTCCGAACGATATCTGTTACAGTTACACCATCAAGATAATCTCGACAAGTCGATATGCTATTTAGTTATCTATAAAAAACACAGATAAAAATATTTAAATTCGTCACGATCAAGGATATATGTAACAATTCATAATGCATTTTTGGCATCTTATATAATCTATCGAGATTAGAGCGGCTATGGTTGTATCTTTTTAGACTAGTATAAATATTAAATACTGTCTATAGTTTACGCGAGTAGTACACATTTAAATAAAACACTTTAACGGTTTAAACGCGATATATTAGTTAAACTTATTTGGAAATATTTTTAACTTCGGCCCGACGTTTCGGATGCTTTGCAGCAGCAACCGTGGTCACGGGGGCCCCGGGGCCTCCGAAACGTCGAGCCGAGTTAAAAACTTTTCCAAATAAGTTTAACTAATATATCGCGTTTTAAACCGTTAAAGTGTTTTATTTAAACAGTATAAATATTGTTATTTTATTTATAGGTACTATAATTAGATGTTATTTTTTAATAATTGCTTTCGATTGAAAAAGTAAATATTTATTTTCAGGGACATACATTCATAGTAGAAAGAAATTTAATAAATATAGTGTCATTAAATTGGTTTAAGACACTTTTTAAATTCTTTTTAAGTTTGTATTAATTAAAAATAATTGTATTTATAGTTTACGTCTTTTTTTCTTGAGAAATATGCGGTCATATACTTTTAGACAGTTATTTATTTTAAATAAGGCTTATTGAAAGATACGTTATAACAAGATTTTATGTTTGAAACCGTTTAAATTTTATTATTCTGTTCTAATAAGCAAAAAAATGTAGTCCTCTATAGATTATAATATGAAATATTAAAGCCCAATGAACAAGAGCAAGAAGCAGAACGAACAACAGTTATGAAATGAAAACTTAAATCCAATATCAAACACAAAGGTGTTGATCGAGGTCGAAAAAAAACCGTAACAAAAACGCGAGGTCCACTAAACCAAAGTTCACGATTGTTCGGGCGAGTGAGTGAATTTCACTCGATAAAAACTTACATTCGAGAGTGAGTTTTGTAACAATTAAAAAAAGATTCGCGAACTCATCTTTTTGGTCGCGAAACGAGATTGTGGACTTTCGTCGGGCCACGGTCGAGGCCAAACTGTCTTGAATCATCTAAATATGCAAATTTTGTAACCCGTATTATCCAACCACTTACCAGACTAGAACGGTTTTTTAAATAAATATTTAAGAAGAGAAACATAAACTTATGTTTCTCGACGTACTTACGAGAAATATAACATTATGTCCTCGTTTAAATTTTTAATTATCGGAAGTCTATAATTCTTTCACTAAAGTACGCACGTTTTCCCACAGATTATACACAATTTGACAATAAATATGCTTATATATTTCCTAAATTAGATTGTGTTCAATTCTTACAAAAGAAGTTAATAGCAAATATTTTTATTTTGTTCGTGTAGTTCTAGTAAGATTATCTAAGTCAGTCCAACTTAATCCATTTTGAATGACGGAAAATCATTTATTAGTTCTTGCTCTGAACTCTATAATACTAGGTGGAAGTAAGCACATAATAAGTAGGTAAGTAATATATTCATATTATGATTTTTTTCGTCCGTTTACGTAAACACTTCTCGCGTAACATTTATTTTCTATTGTCTAGCCTTACATCTCGATCTCTTGCGTTTTCAATTCCTATTCAATTGTTTTCTCATTTATCTAATCTGACAATCTTGATAAATAACCTCTCGTACGAACTTTTACCGCAATGGCTTAACGTGAAAAACATTAAGAACAAGATAACTCGGGTTTGAATCCCGGGGGAACATCTGTTTTATCTTTTGACCATCACAAAACTAATTAAACCGTTCAAATAAGTGGAAAACTTACGAGAAATTTAATCTTCATAGATTATTATTAATTGTCCTAAAATTACTAATGGCGTCCAAAAAAGATGGCGGTCGTATTTTGTTTTTGTTCCCATAATTTGCGATTTTGTTATGCGTACAATATCGAATAATCTAGATTTTTAAGTCGTTAAATAGGAGATATATAGTATTATTATATTAGTATGTTATTATAACACCAAAAACATACAATACTGGTTAATTTATTTGTGTTTTATCGTGTTTATTTATCCGTTTCTTGCGCCTTGTGGGACCGCTTTTTTGATACCGTTCTATTTTGACAAGGGCAAGGACTATTATGCAAGCGAACAGCACGAACGCTTATTTTAAGCCGAATTAAGTCACTTACGATTTATATTTTGCAGTGTTAAATTAAAGTAAATGTAACGATTTTGCATTAAAATCTAATTAGATAATCTTAAGTTAAACTTGAACAAAATAGTTAAACATAACCTATATCTACAAGTAATTTTAGGAGTATAGATTAAAAAACTATTTTTGTATATATAATATAGATGACACAAACATAGTTAAACTAAACTATCGCTTGTATATTAACGTAGACTCTATATATCAGAAGCAGAGCAAAACTGCAATCTTATAGATGAATTCATTTCTACAAAGTGATATTCAGTTAGTTATCGCTAGGAAACGATCAATGTTCGACTTACAGCAACGTTTGACAGCACTCGTATAAGCCGGCCTAAAGTCGAGGAATATGGATAATCCACACACTGATCACAGCACTGAAAAAGGTTCACTCCACGAATGTCCTGCCCGAAACCCGTTCCCAACGATTCCGGTTGTCACTGGCGCGAAGTACCACTTGGACGTGTCGAAAGGAAAGTTTCGTGTGTTGTAAACTTTTTTCGCGAGCCGCGGAATGGCGGCGCGGTGTACGCTGTTACGTGCTCACCCGGCGACGGCGCAAAACATACTGACGCGAGTAACTGGCTTAGTGTGCTCGCCGAAGCCTTCTCTACGTCACGCGCGCCGCTGTGTGAGTGAGGAACTTGCAGATTCCTGTACTACAACACGCAGCGTTCGAACGAAGCTTATAGACACACATCCATCGCGCGTTTTATTTACCATAGAACTTTTCATTCATTTGATATACAGCAATGTATTATATAACTGGGTAATAGTTTTATTATTAACAAATGGATCGTTCAAACCCGGCATCAGGTTCTGTAGGTTTGCTCATTTATTGTTATGACCCTACATGCAGTCGGTGCATAGTTTTATGAAATTGGTTTTTTGTTCTCGCCGTCTGGTGGAGTCCTATGGAATCCGCGCTCCCTTTATGAGGCCGCTGAACTTAAATAAGCTTTCGATGAATATTTGTGATGCGCAAGAGTGAAAATATCGACTTTAAACGTGTTCTCACATGTTTACCTACCTAATGAGGATATTTAAAAAAAAACGACTGCCAAAGGTTTGGAATCGTGTTATTTTCTTTTTCATTCGACAATGTGGATACATTAGTGGTTTTAAAAGTATTACAGAGACTGAGTTAAAATTCATGTTTGTCTAGTAAAAATTAATTCAACCAACTGATTATACGACCGCCTCTGTAGCTAAAAATATGAGCGCGAAAGGTTCGCAGTTTGAATCCCATAAACAATAGATTATTTCGGTCTGGTAAGGCACAGAGCTCTGATTAACTTCTTTACAATAACATACATACTATATAATAAAACAGATCAGTAAAACGAACTCAAAAATATGTTCTCCCCATGCTACACGCGGAAGTTCACTTATTCTTTATATACCTACCTACAAAACTTTACACATACAATATAGAGTTTATGTTATTTGACTTAAGTATATTTCAAGAATCTCGTTGATTAATAAAATAAAAATAAAAAAAGATGAATAATTAATAAAAGTTTTTACTTATTAATTATTTAATATTATCATTTTCATTTTTATATATAAGATAGAACTAAGACTAGCTGTGTGTGTAGAGTAGATGTTTTGGGGATCGAAATTTATTTTTGCATCTTTATTAATTTAAGCTGCCCAAGACATCGGCATCGCGTCCCGTCGCTTGGTTTCCGTATAGCCTTATAGCCTTCCTCGAGTCTTCCTCGATAAATGCTCTAACTAACACAAAAAAAAAATCAATTCCAACCCGTAGTTCCTGAGATTAGCGGGTTCAAACAAACAAACTCGTCCGCTTTTTACATTAGTAGGTAGATACTGTCGATAAATTTTACCTTACCCTATTTTTTAAGTTATTATTTTATTTAATATAAATTCTGAATAAATTGTATTTGTATATTTCCCGTTGAAACCGTTAAGTGTTTTATTTATATGTGTAGGTGCTACCGGCGTAAAATATAACATCATTCTATGATATACATTGCACAGATTTGATATACATAGCAAAAAATTTTAACCCGAAGTAGTAGTAATAAGTAAATAATATATATAACCTCAAAATGATATGGAATCACTTGTAAGCTCTATCATATGAGGCCTATAGAGCCAGAGTAACGTAACTGCAATTTTATGACTTGACTTACTCATATTTTTATATTTTAAACACGTAAAACAGCACAGTGACTGAAAATTCTTATCATAATTCTTACACAAATAATAGTACAAATTAATTTTCCTCTAAGTCAATTGCTCAATTTTCCCCCTTATTGAAAATCGTGTTTTTTGTTTCTAGGCCACTCTGGCTTTAGCAGCCTCATATGGGTCTTTAATTTATAATAAATGCATGGGTGTTATATAAAGAAACTACGAGAGGAGAAATTACAAGACAGGAATTGTTATTTCAATTGGCAGAAGAACTTGCCATCGAATACCAACAAGAGCTCGGCAAGGAAAATCAACCAATACCCATTCCAAGTCAATTAAGGTTCTCGTGAACGGAAAACATGTCAGGGTATTGTAAAGATAATAAGGCCAACAAAATTTGTTTAAAATGTAAAAAGTACGTATGCGGAAAATGTACAGTTGAGAAGTCCATTTGTAAAAATACAATTAAAAGAACAAAATGTAGATTATGTACTCTTGAATAAGAGAAACTATATTTGTATACTGGTAAGTTGGCCTTTGGTCTGCATTCAACATTGAAAAATATAGGTTGTGAAAGACCGGTCATTTGACGGCCGCGGTATAGTACACGTGATGTGACGGTAGGAATAGTGTGAAAGACCTCTGCAAATAGCCAAGACAGAGCCGCTGCAAAACAATTGTGATTTGTGACGAAATGTTCAAGTATTCGCACGGTCCCTTCCATTTAGTTCGCACGATTAACATTTAGAAGCTGATAACCCGGACCTCGGAGATCACAACTATTTCTTCAAATAGCCCTAAAGGTTTATTGTCCATAGTAGATCCCTTATCGTGGCTCAATAGTTAACGCTTTAAGCAAGGGGGCTGCGGTTCGAATACCAGGAATAACTATTTTCTAGAATTTAAAAATCGAAAATAAATTGAAAAAACATTCGACTCGGGCAGGATTTGAACCGGCATCGTCAACGTTCCGTGCTGTTGCTCTACCAAGTTGAGCTACCGAGTTTCTTGAAGCTGTTATATTTGACCAATTTCATGCCTTTAAAAATAGCGAAAACAGACGCAGAGATATACCTGCACAATAATCGTATTAAAATTGGTAATTAAATTAAGCCGTTTCTATATTCATGTATACTAATAAATAGAGCTGAAGAATTTGTTTGTTTGTTTGAACGTGCTAGATCAGGAAACTACTGGTTGGAATTAAATTATTTTCGTGTTCGATGGAGCATTTGTTGGTGAAGGCTTTAGTCTATGAGTCATAAGGCTCCGTCTAATAGGAGAGAAGACACAGAGGGAAATAAGGGGAAAATTACTCATCTTTAAGAGTATCTGTTGCGTGCGCTGCGAAAGTAATTCAACATACCCACAAATACGTATGAGAGAAGGTTTTTATAACACATTAAATAAAACAAATTTAACCTAATTCAATCACGAACAATTTTACTTAGTTAACGTTAACTTCGAACACGGTGACGCGCATTTTCGTTTTAACCTGTTTAAAACGGTTTTATTTAGGAGTTATAAGTTATTTGTAGTGAGTTAAATAAGATTTTGGGAGGCTCAGGGTTCGAGACCTGACATTTCACCGAACCATTCAATCGTTTCGGTCGAACAGGACACAGACTCGGAACAACCACTTGCAAATAAAACCCAAAATGGAAACATAAACGTAAATGTGTTAGTCCCATAACATGTCAAGTGCTCTAGGTTCAATTCCTGGGAAAACAAAATAAGAGAAATAATTAAATACTGTCATAGTTTACGCGAGAAGTACACATTTAAATAAAACTTTAACGGTTTAAAACGCGATATATTAGTAAAACTTATGCCGTGATCACGGGTCAGTCTCCCCGTGACCACGGCTGCTGCAAAGCATCCGAAACGTCGGGCCGAAGTTAAAAATCATTTTCAAATAATTTTAACGAATATATCGCGTTTTAAACAGTTAAAGTGTTTTATTTAAAAGTAAAATAATTGTTTAGATTAATTTAAAAGTAAGTATGGATGTTCCATCTTCTCACTGAAGTACTCGAGACTAAGGCAGATACATATGGGTTCGGACAAAGTTACAGAAGATGACATTAAAGAACTACAGATGGAAAAAATAATAAGATTCTGCAAGCAAACCGGAAGGTTTGAAGGGGACACGGGGAGAGTTGGATGAGCCAAACCTCCAAGGAAAATGGGGAAATGGGTGAAATGGTCAGCTGATAATGTGGACTGATCACCCGTCACAGGTGTCCCCGAAAGAAAGTAATAATAAGTATGGATGTTCTAGCTTCTAAATAGAAACAGGTCACGGAAACTAACGCAAAAATATGAATACTCTTGAAGGTTTTAAAAATAAACGATCATAACATTGAACAAAGATTGATAGCAATAATGATGTAAGTCTTCAAACTATTTTAATAATAATTCAATTGCTCTTATGCGTTTGTTGTTAAAAATCATTAATCTTCCAAATTAAAACATGATATATTAAATGAGTCCGTATCTTATATGTTGAACGTGATTCGACACTATTTTATTTTGCAACAAGTCGTGCTGTTTCGTCGTTGAACGCTTTTTGATTGTCAAAAGTAAATTAGGACCGTCTATTTGCGTTGCGAATTGGGTCTTTGAATTTTTATTTACTATATTTTTTAATTTATAATTCGGATTATAATGATATACGCTACACATCCAAGAATCGATAATAAGTATGGTTTAAAACAAATAAAACACTTTTAAATTAAACGTAAATAATTTGACAATTCATGTTAAAAATACAAAAACAGAAATATACTGCACAATAATCGTAGTAAAATTGGTAATTAAATTAAGCCGTTTTACTATATTTTTTAATTTGTAATTCGGATATAATGATATACGCTACACATCCAAGAATCGATAATAAGTATGGTTTAAAGCAAATAAAACACTTTTAACGGATTTAAACGTAAATAATATACTTATTTTGGACGTCCCCCCATATGGCTACTGTAAAGCAGTCAAAACACCGTCATTGTTAAAAATTAATTAGCCAATAATTACATTTCGTTCTAAACAGTTAAAACTGTTTTATTTATTTTAACACTACCTAACATATTTTATTTGCCACTGATCTTTGGTGATGGCAATGAACGATTGTCATCTACGTCCATATTAAATTAAATAAGAGATAACGGGTTAAATGAGGAAAATAAAACATAAAGTGGCTTTGCTAAGACCCGCAGTATCAGTGGAGATTGGTAGCCAATGACGACTACCACCATAAAATTTTGTTTTGACCTTCAGGATTAGCAAGCTTCCTGAAGCTCTGGGTAAGATACCTTCCTACATTCAAAAAAATCTTGTCACAAAGTTATTGTCCGTACGCAAGTAGTACACATTTAAATGGAGCACTTTTAACGGTTTAAACGCGAAGTCAATTGGGTTACTTATAATAATATATTTCAAGTTTTAAACCGTTAAAAGTGAGTTATGAGAAAGGTGTG